CAATCTTTCAAAGACTGAGCTCCTTGTCATCCCAGCCAGTCCCTCTATGCAACCACAGATCAATATCCAGCTTGGAACAACCAATCTCATGCCCACAAAGTCTGCCCGGAACCTGGGTGTCATGATTGATGACCAGCTAACTTTTAAGGTTCAAGTAGCCTCGATTGCCCAGTCATGTCGATTTGCCCTGTACAACATCAGGAAGATCAGACCTTACCTGTCAGAACATGCAACACAGCTCCTGGTACATGCTCTTGTGATATCACGCATCGACTATTGCAACTCTCTACTGGCAAGGTCTTCCTACATGCACTATCAAACCCAGATGCATCAACTGCAGATGATACAAAATGCAGCAGCACGACTGGTCTTCAACCTTCCTAAAAGAGCACATGTCACTCCGCTGTTCATCTCCTTACACTGGCTCCCAGTTACTGCTTGCATCAAATTTAAAACTCTGCTGCTAGCTTACAAAACAGCGACAAAAATGTCTCCTCCTTTCTTTAACTCTCTCATCCAGGTCTGCACTCCCTCCTGCCCACTACGCTATGCCAATGAAAGGCATCTGATCCAACCTTCACAACAGGGTCCTAAGTCTCTGACTAGACTCTTCTCCTCTGTCGCCCCTCGGTGGTGGAATGAACTTCCAAACGCAATTCGATCTGCAGAGTCCCTCTGCATCTTTAAGAAAAAGCTAAAGACCCAGCTCTTTCATGAATACCTACTCACTTAATGATGATGGTCTCGATATCATTGATGATGATGATGGTTGTGATGATGGTTGTTGTTAAACGACGATATATAAGATGGTTTCTATACTGATTAGAGCTCTCAAGAACTGCCGTCAATGTTGTGCTTTGCCTCAATTGTGTCCAATTGGACTCAAAGCTCTTACTGACATTGTTCCCTTTTTTTCTAGATCCTTGCTTGTGTTGTACTTACTCTCTGATGTACGTCGCTTTGGATAAAAGCGTCTGCTAAGTGAATTTTAGAATTGTAGAATTGCACAGGTGGAGATCAAAGTGGATTTGGTCAACAAACATCAGACTGTGGTTCCTGTTTCCAATCAACCGTCAATCTACAAGGATTGTTGTAGTAAACATGACGATTGATCTCACTTAAGCTTAAAAAGATTATTACATCAAGGAAAATCATGATCTTGTTAATAATATACCAAGATATTTTCATGCTTGTAAATAACATTACACATAAGGCGTGTGATAACAGAGATTTTTTGACATTTAGAGATGAGTAACAGCTTTGCAAGGAAAGAAAATGACAACACATGGCTGGTTATGACGTCAAAGTATAAAATGTGTTGTGTGTTTTTGTAAAAGGCATAGACAAACTTTGTGGTTGAATCTGGAGGACTTGTGGAGTGTCACTTCTGGTTTTGCTTTTTTAGAAACCGAGAATGAAGTTAACATATCAAAAGACAACATTTAAGACGGGTGCACCTTTTATTCCATGACAACGGGCTATTCATGGGTTAGCAGAATTGTCATGATATCAAGGTTGCTGAATAGATAATAAATTATATTTTTGGGGGAACTGTAGGGTATAAATTCAGGCTTTCATACTACAGAGTACAATTCAGCTACAGTTTTCTATAAGAGCAAAAAAAGGGTTTTACAACGACCTAAACAGTGGTCCAGGATTTCGCTGCTGTCCTTGGAATTCATATCATGTTTATTTTACTAATCCTCTCTCACAATAGATGTCTTTCCATAGAGGAGAAGTCAATCCATTTTAAATGTACTGAGCAGGTGTGAACTGTTTGCAGGAAATGTCATGAAGAGAAGTCAGGCCTGAGGTTAGGAGTGACAGCCCCTTTTCTAAAGACACAAAGCTTGCTAATACATCTTGAAATGAATGAGTGAATGAATCTTGAAATGAAGAAGGAGGACATGTGAGAGGAGCTGTTAGAAAGATCTCTGATTAAGAGACAGTGATTGCTTGTAGACCTACAATCTATTCAGTTCAGTTAAAAATGTCCCATGTCTTACTATTTCTGTGGGAAATACACTGAAACATCACAAATCAGCTTCTTAGTACAATAGTGCAGGCTTTACATGACAGCAGAAGTGTTATCTGTTTGTATACAGCGAGTTGATGCCGGTTCAAGGTCATTAAGAGAAGCCACGCAAGGATGCAGTCAAAAAAAAAATGGTTGCCGTCGGTGAAGGAAAGGCAGGGGAGGTAAACAGAGCAGCCCCGACCCTGACCTGAGAACTGCTGAATTAGCTTTAGGACAAAGACAATTATCAAGTGGTGCAGAGCAGAAATCAATGAGTATTAATGAATCTCAATGACCTGGTCGAGGAGGAGAAAAAGCCTCAGGAATTCTTCTGCACTGCACACAGCAAATGATGCACCAGATTGGTCGTAATTTGCACGATGAGAAAGCTCAGTCACGGTTTACTTTGTGTTGAAGATCCCAAGTTGTTGAAGGGGCTTTTAAAAATGGTGTATGAGCCAATGCACTAACAAGAGAGTCCCTCCTGCAGCTGGAAACTGCAGGTTTGAAGATTCTGAATGATTAAGCATGAATGTCACATCAGATACTACGGACATTTCCCCTTGCAGGCTGCAGTGAGGTGAACATGAAGACTGTGCATGTGTGGGTAATATGCACATGACTCATAGGCATGACTATGGCCGATCCTGAACTACAGAGAAGGCTGCAGCAGTAAGATTGCATGTGTCATTAGCTCTGAATGCTGGAGCATTGAATGATAAGAGAAAGAGAGGTAGGTCACAGGAGTATCAGGTGTAAGTAGAGGGTAATCTGAGGCAGGAAGTAGGTGTTTTCCCCTCCAAACTGCTGGTTAGAGGCCAAATATTAAGACCTGAAAGCTGAACCCTCCATTCAAACACCATGAGAGGAGGACAAAGCTTTGAAACACGTTAAAAGCTCACTTCACTGCTCAGAGCTCACCCTAGGGTGATGCTGCCTTAATATAAACCTTGTTCCAAGATTGTCATGTGCAAAAACCTACATTTACTTTTAACACTTTGTGTTTCATTTTGTCACCTAATGAACCAACTGCGACCGTCTTGCACCTTACTGGACGGAGGAAAGATGCTGTTGTGAAGCTGTGAAGAGCTCTTCGCATCGTATTGTAATGTGTTGTATCTATCTTTAGAACGCTGAATCTCCTGTCTGCACAACAAATGTACCCTTTTAGGTATTAATAAAGGATCCTGGAACCTTGAACCTGGCAGGGGAAGATAAGGAGTTCATTAGGTCATTGAGCTGCAGTCCTGGAGTCACAGTCATGTAAGATCACATGCTTAATATAATTTATTAATTCAAAATAATTCTACCAGAAACTTGCAAAAATTATTGATTCACACACACCACAAAAAAAAACTTTCATCAGGGCTTTAAGGTTCTTAAGGTTATATGAACTTCTGCTTCTATTATGTCAACTTCTGTCTTTCGTTTCCTCTGATATTGTTCAACATCAAGTTACAAAATCATGTGATGGATTCATTTAACAGGGTCAGAAGCACATGGCTCATGCCAAATACACACTTGCATAGCTCATGATTTATGATGTTAATACAGTTATGCCAAAGACATTATAACAGCACACAAGTCACATTGTACCCTGATTAAATCAACTGAACCTCATGAGTGGTTTTGGACTTATTTATTTTCAAAAGGGTAAATTAAATTGAGGAACACATAATCACCGAGGACATCAAGTTATAGAAGACAATAAACACCATTATGCAACATTTTCAGTCGGGACAAAAATAAATGTGTCATTGCTTCAGTGATAAATGAGCAGGAATTTTTATATGATCAGTGTCAGCGCTGAGCCTGTTTTCTGTTATTAGATGCACTATTAAACCTTTACCGTGCAGCACATGACTTGTAGGTCTAATGCACAGATGCATGTTGTAACCACGGTAACATTTGTCACATATGTCAGCGTCTGACAAACCCTGACCTCACAGGTTCACTCATAAAATAACCTTCTAATAGGTGTGAACATACATCTAACGGTGATTTCATGTTTCCTCACGGCTCATACAGGCCCTTCACTTCACTGCTGCACAGACTTCCACTGCCCAGCTTATTTAAATACTCAACTAAATCCAAATTTAAACGTGTCAAAAGAGCAATGAAAACACACAAGCCCAGATGTAGATTCTATGGGTGTAGCTGAATTTCCAAGGAAGTCTCTGGCTCTGCTAAGGCGTGCTGGGATTAGAAAGTTATCATTTCTTTTTTTTTTCCCAAACTGTGCACGGACAGACAAAGTGGTTCAATATTTATCCAAGTCTACATTGGAAGCTTTAAGAGTTATAAAAACATTAGAGGGATATTTTTATATCTGAATCACTGGCAGTCAAAATATAAAGAGTGTAGATGGACAAAGTGTCGACATGCGTTTATTTTTATTTCCCCGCGTTTATTGTGCCTTGAAATATTTCCTTTTTACCACTTTAGGGGACGCTGATTTATGATGCACAGCGATTTCTCTCCATCATTTTACATCGTACAATTGAAGAAAAATAACAGCACAAAATAAATTCTTACCTTAATCATTCATGAGTCAGACAAACTTTAAACGTGCATCCAAGTTTAACGGACTTTAGAAAATGACTGTCTATTGTTACCACTGCTTCACATTGACATGCCTCCAGATAGATGTCATAGTACAAAAATGATAGAGAGAAATATCAGTGTTTTTTTTGACTAAGCATTTTTGAACTTGACCTCCCTTACATAGTTTCCTGACTAAATATTTACTGAAAGGTTTGACATATGTCTACATTGCCTCTGAGAGCTGTTAATAATCTCAGCAAGGGTGACTTTAAGAAGGTAATAATACATTCTAAATCATCTGATCCAATGGCTCCCTCTGCTGGTGAGCACTAATACTACAAAAATGTATTCTTTTCCAACCAGTGATGCAGGATGTGTCCTTGTTTTTTTTTTTTTTTAATCACACAAAACATGCAGAATCACAAACTCAACAAGTGTATTTCCTTGTTTTGTTTTTTTTATTATTGGAATGCTTTACCTCAATAATGTGACAACGAGCTGACAGTGCAAAAGCATGATCGCACCGAAAGCAGACTCCTTCAAACTTCATTTTCTCGCAGGCTTCACATGTCTCATATTTACAAGAGGGGTCACTCTAGACACTCATACATCCAACTTACTTGCACAATCCAGCACCACACATACTGTACACACTTCTGTCCCCATGAACACTTAAGGCACGCACACATACACTATTTATATTTAAACACAGCACGGCAATGTGCAGAGCTTAAGACAGCAGTAACGTAGTATAATTCAACGCTCGACAAAAGGGTTCAACAAAGCCAAGTCAGGAGGAAACAGCTACAGTATACGCTCACAGACTAAATGGATCTCTATACATGACCTGTGATTGTGCTGTGTTGCATTTAGCGTGACGATATTCAGTACAGCTTTTTTTCTGTGGCTTAAACATGTGGCTACTTTTTAGTCCTAAAAATATGCTGTAACACTAGCAAGTAGAGATGTCAGGTCCCAATGTGAGTCAACTATACAACAGGGAAAAACAAAGAGGAGGCTTTGAAAGCGTATATAGAAGTGCATGTTGGAGAAAATACTGAATATAGTTTAGGAGGGAGAGGGAGAGAGACCCTGTGTTGGTCAGTTTAGTGTCTAACTGTGAAGTTTTTGTGGAGATTTCAGTGTGAGAAACAGATATGATGAGATACGACGAGCGGTAGAGAGCTGAAGTCGGATGACCGTGGTCACATGATTTCTTTAAGACAGTGAAATATAATATTTTTCTATTAAAATATGTATTTAGCAGATATAAAGGAAGCAATCAAGACGTTCTCTAAAGCACGTTTAAAAAGCTGGCAGTTAAGTGTTTCATTCATTAGAAAGGTGAACTTATTTTAAAGTCTTAAGCAGATTTATCTGGACTCTGTGAAGAACACAATACACAAGTGTAAGATGCTATGCACATAAACAGCAGAGTCAGATGTGTTGGAAGAACAATGAAGATGATCAGACAAGACCATTGAAAAGGTTAGCATCGCTCATATGTTTGATGACATGTTTTTGACTGATATTTACCATCTTCATACATTTCTACTCAGAAGCTGATGCTTCAAACATGCACACGATTGGCTGTGTGTGGTCTGTGGAGAGATATACAATGATTATTATTATTATTATTAAAATATATCTAAATAGTTGCAATGTGTCCAAAAGTGAAACTTTAGTAGAATAAGTGCTCTTGGTTTGTCTGAATATACTAAATATTACACATAAACTTGACCCACAGGTTCCATCAGTGTTATTTGTGTAAATTTGCTTCATGGCTGCATTTTAGGCAAATTCATCGCAGTGAGAAATATTTTCAAATCAACTCATAACATCTCACTAGTAAGCCCTCTGCAGCAGTGGTTCCCAAACATTTGAGTTGTTTCAAATTCAGGATATTTAGAAGCCTCGAGAGGTAGAAGTGTGCAGGAGTTCCACAAGAAAAACAAAATCACAAAAAAATTAGACATTAAATAAAAAGGATTTGTATTTCATTCCCTTTTTGACCCTTTTATAAACTCGTGATCTCTAACTTCACTCCTGTGGCATCTAGTTGAGTGTTAAAGCCCCTGTTTGGGAACCACTGCGCTGTAGCGTACTGCTTTGACTGATAACATTGTTCAATGTTCAATTATGTTCTGCCAAGTGAGTATCTTGTGCACTGGACTCATGCTAGATGAGAGGCCATGCTGCTAACTCTTTTCCAGGTAAAAAAAAAACGAAAGGGGAGGGAGAAGATAGCTTTTGTTTCCCATCCCCCTGACACTGGTGACAGGGGGGAAGAACACTTTCTATCTTCAAGACAGGATTCATGTGTTTTTTTGTCTTCTGTGATCTCAGTATATCTGTCTTTAAGTCAGAGTAGTTTGACCTTTATAAATGCTTTAGCAACAGATGGATTACAGTTTCTACATCTGATGTGAGGTCTCTCTCCCTCTTTAGCACCTCTCCAAACCCTCCACTCATGATTTTAATCCAACGCCCCCTCATAGGCCCACTCACAACAGGGCGTCTCTGTCCCCCTATGAGTGGGCCCTTCCTCCTCCAGAAACCAGAGACATGTCTCCCGATAGCAGGCGAGACATGCCTCTGGGGAAACGTGCTGATCAACCACTCGCCCTCAAACCAGCGACGCCCGTCTCTCCTCCGGCGTCTCCTCCAGTATCTGAAGCAGCAGGTCGCTGAGGGGCTTGGCTATAGTGCGGTAACCTGTGGGCGTCAGGTGGAGGAAGTCAAACATGTCCTGTGGGACGATAGTACCGTCAGAGTGGACAAAGTCCCCACTCACATCCAGGAACTGAGCCTGGATCAGGCGAGGCAGGCTAGAGCGCAGGTACCCGTTTACTGCTGCGTTCTTCTCCCTCAGTGGGTTTGGACGCTCCCCTCGGGGCATCAAACCCTGAAGAAAAAAAAACATATTAATGACAGGTTTATGAAGATCGATTTTCTTGACAGTTAAACCTTGATATTCTAGATACAATGTGTTATTTTTAATAAGTATTGTGCTTTACTGCATACATGGCTTTAAGCACAGCCTTAAAAAAAAATCCATCCTGCATTTCACTGAATCTAAGGCCCAGTCCACATAAAGGCAGGTATTCTAGAATTTTTTTTTTGACTTGGCATAGTCATGACAGCCGCAACAGCGCCTTTTCATGCGGATGTAAATCTTTTTGAGAACTTATTTTTGTAAACGGAGGAAGAAAACCTCTGTTTACTGGTTTTCCATAAATAAATATTCTGCCTATTCTTTGTTTTTTACAATTCCTGCAGTGTTGACTGAATTAGAGGTCATGTGCTTCAAGCGCCCTTGAACCAGTGTCTTAATATCGCTTCAATCTGTTCAAACAGTAGAGCTATATATAGACAAGTTAATAAACTAAGAGTGGAAAGGATATGATTACTAACTCCCAATGTGACAACTACAGAGACAAAATATCCACTAAGTGTGCTGAATAGAATTTCATAGACTTAATAGAGACGATGCATTCTAACAGCGCTTCAATGCTAAACAGAGTTCATAGCTGTTGCTTATTTCCAACTCTTGTCCCATGTTGGGCCTTTGAGTAAACAGTGCTAGATGCATAATGTCAACACAGCTGTTAAGAACGAACAGGGTGCAACAAAGACCAGACTCATTACCTACCAGGACTATGATCTTTGCTTTGGGGAGGCGGGAGGTGAGCAGCTGAGCAATAGCAAGAATTCCTCCTGCAACTTGCTCTGCAGTGTGTGTGTGATTGTTGGTTCCTACCCACAGCACCACCACCTGGAGCAGACCACAAACAGACACTGTAACACAGAACTGTACCCAAAGCATGATCTACGAGAACAATGAAGCAGCATCATGTCCGATGTTTAAAGAAAGAGGGAGAAAGAGAAAGAAGGCCTGCAAGGTCTGTGTGTCAAATGTATGCGTGCAAAAGAAACTTTATGTGGAATAATGAGGTAAAGTGCTTTTATTTCTGCACAAGACGCATCAAACCAAATGATTTTCCTGAATCCTGCCTAAAAGAAGTTATCAGGCCTGTCTGTCTCACCTTGGGACGGATGTTCTCCAGCTCTCCGTTCTGCAGCCTCCACAGCACATTACAGGTGGTGTCCCCTCCAATGCCAAAGTTGAGTGCATGAAGAGGGGAAAATAAATCCCTCCACACCTGTGGACAAGAAGCCCAATATTAGGATCATAAATTAAGATCCATATCTTTTTTAGTTGACATCAATAAGTCATGAATAATGAATGTTGATAGGAAATTATGCTAATTAATGACCGAATACATAACAATATCTTTATAGGACTAGAAGTACTCTCGTACTGTATTGAGACAAAACACTTTCTAAATTAATCATTAAAGCTACTGGCTGCTAATGAAGATGTCCAGGAGTAAATATGTTGTCTCACATCATACTGCTGCATTAGTTGAATCATAGAATCTCCCACAAACAGCACGTCTGGTTCAGCATCTTTACACTCCTGCACAAATCGTGTGTGCTGTAAAAAAAAAAAAAAAAAAAGAGACAAAAACAGATCCTAGTCACAACAGAGATCGTGAATTAACCGTTTAAAAAAAAAGAGAGGATATTTTACATTTTATTCCCAACAAACAACACAGCTAATCACCTTCATTTAAGTCATTTTTAATCTGCATTGATACCTTGGAGTTATGAGTTTTCTAGCTCTAGGATTACACCTGTTAGCCTTCCAAGTCAAACAAAATCTCCCAAGCTCATCAGAGGACACGGTGCGTCTCAGTCCAATTAGCAGGAGGATTAACCTTTGATAGGCCTACAAGACGGTGCAACCAGACAAGCTGCTCGAAAGAAGTGCGAGCTCTGCCTCTGGGAATCAATGATTGAGATCTATAAGCATGAAATGATCTGAGTCAGATTAAAACGCCTGGCAGGTTAATAATCTATAATAGAGGATCGTTAGGGATCGACAGGTTTGTTTTAGCTTACTCCGTTATTAGTGTAGTAAAAAATAGCCAGATGTAGATCACAGCATATGATTGTAAATACCTGTGGGATAATGTACTTGTGAGTATATTCTTGTGCATACATAACCACAGTGAACTTAACAACCTGATGTATTCCTGTTTCTTTTATGTGCGAGATTGGAGGGGCAATAAAAGAAAGCTTAACAATAGAGGGAGGCACTATTGCCACGCATGCAAAACTAAGAATACACTTATGAAACAGAGTACAACTTCCAGCTGTGGCACATTTTGTGAGACTTGAACAATTGTTGTCCTTGTTTCGTTTTTAGGGAACATTTATTAAAAAGTGGCACATGTTATGGAAAAATCATAGAGCCCAAGAGCAATACAAAAAAATAAATGCCATTGAAAATTAGATATCAGATAATGAAATGCATTCCTATGCTTTCATTATCATCATTTCTATACCTGTCACCTGCAAATTAATTGTATATTGTATACTATATCGTATTACTTACTTGAATATTTGATTTTAGTATTTGTATATTTGTATATTTCTGATATTAGGCATGTACAGGCTTGCTCCAACAATATTTCGCTGTGCTTGTACAATGACAATAAACATATCTTATCTCATCTTATTAGGGACAAAGCAGGTAGAGATACTAAGTTTATAAGCATGACTAACCTGTGACATCCACCGTCCGTCTCCTTGTACATCCTCCACAGGCTGAGGCACTGCAGCTGGGTTTAATTCATCACCACTCATCCTGCAGGAGACATCCCCGTTTATTCACAATTAAACAAAAACAGCACGCTATAAAAATTAAAAATAAACATCGAGCTATTTCTACAGTGAGCTAAACGACGGAGAGCATCAGAAACCTGCTCTGATTCAGCAGCTTCACGATGCAGCAGCGGCCTGATGCAATTGTAGGCTACTTTCGCTTTTTAAGAGGGATAACCGAGCTGATAGCTTTAAACTGGGAAACTGATCATCATACATTAGCTTGTTTGATAGCTAGATAGCAAGCTAACATTCAAATGTCTGGAGACTGTCATCCACATCTCGTACACTTAAGAGGTTGACACGCCCGTCGTTGAAATCATTTTGATGTAACTACCTGGCAGGGTGTCGGCCGTCACTTGTCGGTTTACTCGGCTACAGAACAGCTATGTTTATGCCCTCACTTCACCTCACCGCTGATGGGCAGTAGGAGCGGATGATGCTCGCTAGCAATCGTTAGCTGACTCCAGCTAGACGAGACAACAAAAGGTGTGTCAAGAGGCAAAGAGCAGAGACTCTGTGAGGGGGGAGAGTGTCGATGTGTTACCATGAGCTGTAACACGGCTAGAAAACAAGGCAGAACTGTGTGACCCTGGAGCTGTCTGTCAGGCGACAACAACATTTATTCACTTAAACTCTTATCAAAAATGGCCCTACTTAACCACGAATACTGCTACACTTAAGATAGTATGTAAGTTGTGTAGGCTACTTTGTTGAATGAGACTGACGCACAGCTTCTCAGCAATCGTACCTTACATCTTAAATTCGGGGATAAAAACCACCCTTTAAATTCCTCTCCCGCAATGAATCATGGGTGTGTTGGTGGTACAGTCTTTGGTAGACAATGTTTGACAACTGGATCAGGATTGTTTCCCTCTATCTTAGATGTCAGGCTACAGCTACCGAGGAAAATACCTTTAGATCAAATAGTGTGCGTCCAGAACAGTCGGTACGGTAAACTGATCTCTCACTTCAAAACATGGCCCATCTTAGGTCATCCTTACCCATCTCTGATCCGAGCCAGTTTAATCAGCTGGACGAAATGCATCATGGTCAATTCAGATCAAATGCTGCATTCCAGTGCTGTTGGAAACACAGGGAATGTCGTCTTCCTATTTCTTGTGATACAATCCAATACTTACAATACAATACTTTATAAAAAAAAAAAAAAATATACACTTTGTAAACAGCCAGTGTTTCACATTTTGAATGGAATAATGAACTATGTATTTTTAAATACAACCAAAATAAATAACGTGGGTCATTTTCTGATCAGCATCCAAAAACATATCCTACATTTTCTTTTTCTGAGGCTGGAAAAGGCTTTTCTGACTGCAGTTTTCTTTTATTGACAACTAAGTTGAATAAACTTTTAATACCACCAGTTAAATAATATTTCCCTCTTGGATTGTTCCTCTCATGCAGAGCAAACTTAATAACTTAAGGCTGCAGGTATACCTCTAAATCTACCCCTGTTTGTTTGTTTGTTAAATAAAGCATGACCAGGTTTAAGTAGACCCCCCATGTGATGCACAATACTGAACTCTGAAATATTCATTATCACCTGCTTTCAAAGATGAAGTGTGCTGTGTCACACTTCATCTTTGAAACAGGACAGGACAGGTGGGTCTTTTCTATTGAGGTTACTGTTTAACTAAGTAGCTAATTATTTTAAAAACATTTTAAAATGTCCTTAATTTAAGTGTTTTGTAAGTAAAAAACAAGTACAAATAGTCACTTATTTTTTTGGCCTAGTTATTTT